GTCCGTTAAATGCACCTTGGAGCCAAGTCGTTTGGAGGTAATCGAGAAAATCTTGACATGCTTAATAGGCCTTGGGCTACTGCACACCGGAGGCCTTGGCAGAGCCCTCATACTGGCAATGCACGGGGAAGGAATGGCGTACCTAAAATAGCAATATTCAAACTACCTTATTTACCTGCTACGATTTCAAAAGCTTACCTCTAAGTAGTTTCCCACCACCCCACGATGCGATCATCTCTTTCCGGTCCAAGCATGTATTTCTTGAGGCCAAGGGCAATGCAGCTGCGATTTCACGCTTGGGCAAGGTGAAACCCACACTGACGCTGCCGGAAAAACCTCTTTTATTGCTGCCTTTCAGAGTCCAATATTATTCGCCGAGGTGCATCACCGGTCATGTTTGTTTTCAAGTGCCCGAAAATTCTTCTTGTAAACCTCCTCCGTTTTCTTGGAAGTAATGCTATATAGGAGCGGTACTTCGACTCCCTGAGAGCGCACACCATGCACGCAGTACAGTTGTCCATAGATTACCTAGCGACTTAGGTTGTAAGGAATGCAGACCATCGGCGTTGATACTGTGAAGTCTTGCTTCACACGCCTTCTGCAATTATAATATATTACGTGAACTGTTCGGATATTGATATTCCGGGATTCGTCACCTGAAGTGTCGCCTCAGAATAATAAATATGGAGTCCAGAGGTCTGGTAGTGTAGAACCGTGGAGCCATCGCGCAGAGTGCGGAACTCCGGTGGTACGTTGTCCATAGTAACGGTTCTGTTTGCCCAAACGGCTACGCTTCCGAAGTCAATTAAATGAGAAGCGGAGTAGGAGTAGGAAATAAGGTCTGCACGCAGCTCACGCACCTTGAAGAAGCTCGCCTTCTATCCTGGTATCCAGAGCGACGGATAGCGGCCCTTATAGAATCATTCATTTGTTCTGAACAGGCACGGAATATTCGGAACAGAATAAATAGACCGAATGTCGAACGACATACCATTTTCAGCGTCAAACGGCGAAGATAGCATATCGAGATAGATTTTCACCGGTTTCTTCTCAGCACATGAAGGATCGCGCCTCATGTGTTGCAACTCATGAAACGACTCTATGAACACTGTTTGATTTCCTCCTTCCTCACCTTGTACACATTGCTGTTTCCTATTCTTCACCATACTTGCCGAGGATGCATTCATGCTACATCCTGCATGGTGTCACTCAAGTATCGCTTTCCAATCACCTGAAATGTGCTCTAAAGCCGGTCAGGTCATTTGCATATATTTCATTTTCTTCCGCATACCTTTGTATATCCTTCAACAAGTCGCTCCCCACATCTTCTCCTCTCCTTCAAGCACCCAACGCAGTGGTAGTTCTCCCAGTTCATCCCAGCGTGCGACCGGTAGTACGTGTATGA